CCTTTTATGGTAATTTTTTTTTGAAATTTCGAAATTTTGAAATTTTGAACTTTTAAAATCGCCTTATAAGGAAATTTTCCTTTTATAGGATAGATCTACGTTACACAAAACGTCCAAAAAAGGAAATTTGGTAATACAAACTTCTTTATTTGGACATTTGTGTAACGTTACATTGCCATAAAAGGAGATTTTCCTTATAAGGAGAATCTCCTTATAAGGAGATTTTAAAATTCAAAAATTCGAAAAATCAATTTTTCGAAATTTTGGCACTTTTCATCCAAACGGTACACCGTAAAGTGTAACAGAACAAGTAAATCAAGTAACACAATCATCAAACGATTTTATTGAATTTCTTAATTTAGATAAGATAATTGCATATGCTATTGAGAAACATGATAAAGGCACTACGTTTGATCACGCTCAACAATTAATAAGCAAACATATATTACAAATAAATCAAGCTACAGATCAACTTATAAAATGGTTATTAAAAAATCAAGATAAAACACAGTATATTTGGTTCCTTGGATTATTTTATTATTATAATATTGGTGTAGATGAAAATGTCAGTAGAGCATTTGAATTATTTTCACAATCAGCAGATGATAATTATCCAATTGCACAAGTATATCTTGCTAAATGTTATTATGATGGATATGGGACTAAAAAAGATAAAAAGTTGGCATTTTATTGGTATCAAAAATCTGCTAAAAATGGAAGTATTGTTGGGCAATTTTATTTAGGAAATTGTTATGAATTTGGTATTGGAATTGTAGAAAATGAAAAAAAATCATTTTATTGGTATAATACAGCAGCTAAAAATGGAAATAGCACTGCAAAACTTTATCTTGCACATTGTTATAGATTAGGAAAAGGAGTTGAAAAAGATAAAGGCATAGCATTTAAATATTATAAAAACTTAGCTAAACAAGAAAATGCTGATGCTCAATTACAAGTTGGTAATTGTTTTTATTATGGAATTGGAACAAAATTAGATAAAATACAAGCCAAATGTTGGTATGAAAAAGCAACAAATAATGGAAACATAATAGCAAAAAATATTCTTAAAAAGTATTATAATGTAAAAGTGAGAGTTGAAATAAACAAATCTAAAAAAATTAAATTTTATAAAATATTATTTAATAAAAATTTGAGTCAATTTGGATTTTATTGTATTGGAAAAATATTACTAAGAACAAATTATGAAAAATCATTCTATTATTTACAAAAAGCAGCAGAAAATGGATGTAAATTTGCACAGTTTAATTTAGGTGGATGCTATCAATTAGGAGATGGTGTAAGAAAAGATTTAAGAAAGTCTTTTGAATTATATAAGAAATCTGCTGAACAAGGATATATAAATGCACAATCTCAACTAATCTATTGTTACGATTTTGGATATGGAACTGAAGTGGATAGTATAAAAGCATTTGAATTAGCAAAGATAATAGCTGAAAAAGGTTATAGTGATGCACAATATTTATTAGGAGAATATTACATATATGGAAAAGGAGTAGATAAAGATGAAAACAAAGCATTTGAATTATTTAACAAACTAGCTACTAAATATTTTGTGTCTGGTAAAAAAGAAATTAAAATTAATAAGCAAAAAGAATTTGAATATTCAAAAATATTTGCTGAGGGTATAAATATGAGCTTAAAATATGAACTTGGAAATTGTTACAATATAGGAGTTGGAACTGAAGTAAATAAAACAAAAGCATTTGAATTATATAAGATAGCAGCTGAAGGAGGAAATAGTTTTGCACAAAATAATTTAGGATTCTTATATCAATATGGTGAAGGAACTGAAAAGAATTTGGAAAAAGCTTTTTATTGGTATAATAAAGCGGCAGAAACTGGCTATAAAGTAGCACAATATAATTTAGGCAATTGTTATATAAATGGAAGAGGTGTTGAAAAAAATCAAACAAAAGCATTTGAATTATATGAAATAGCAGCTGAAGAAGGGAATTGTTTTGCACAAATTAACTTAGGGCTTATGTATGAAAATGGTGAAGGAACTGAAAAAGATTTAGAAAAAGCTTTTTATTGGTATAATGAAGCGGCAGAAAATGGAGATAAAGTAGCATTATATAATGTTGGTGAATGTTATGAATTAGGAAATGGTGTAGTAAATAAGGATGTAATTAAAGCATTTGAATATTATGAGGAATCAGCTAAACAAGAATATTTACATGCACAAATTAAACTTGGATATTGTTATTATAAAGGAGTTGGAACTGAAGTAAATAAAACAAAAGCATTTGAATTTTTTAAAATAGCGGCTGAAGAAGGAAATTGGTTTGCACAAAATAACTTAGGGCTTATGTATGAAAATGGTGAAGGAACTGAAAAAGATTTAGAAAAAGCTTTTTATTGGTATAATGAAGCGGCAGAAGATGGAGATAAAGTAGCATTATACAATATAGGTGAATGTTATGAATTAGGAAATGGTGTAGTAAATAAGGATGTAATTAAAGCATTTGAATATTATGAGGAATCAGCTAAACAAGATTATTTACATGTACAAGTTAAACTTGGATATTGTTATTATAAAGGAGTTGGAACTGAAGTAAATAAAACAAAAGCATTTGAATTTTTTAAAATAGCAGCCGAAGAAGGAAATTGTTCTGCACAAAATAACTTAGGGCTTATGTATGAAAATGGGGAAGGAACTGAAAATGATTTAGATAAAGCTTTTTATTGGTATAATGAAGCGGCAGAAGATGGAGATAAAGTAGCACAATGTAATTTAGGCAATTGTTATAAAAATGGAAGAGGTGTTGAAAAAAATGAAGCCAAAGCATTTGAATTTTTTAAAGTAGCAGCTGAAGGAGGAAATTGTTCTGCACAAAATAACTTAGGGATTATGTATGAAAATGGTGAAGGAACTGAAAAGGATTTAGAAAAAGCTTTTTATTGGTATAATAAAGCGGCAGAAAATGGAAATAAAGTAGCATTATATAACATAGGTGAATGTTATGAATTAGGAAATGGTGTAGCAGATAAGGATGTAATTAAAGCATTTGAATATTATAGGAGATCAGCTGAAGGTGGAGATATAGATTCAAAATTTCAACTTGGATATTGCCATGTAAATGGTATTGGAACTGAAGTTGATGAGGAAAAAGGATTTGAATTATATAATGAAGCATCTGGCGGTTATATTGAAGTTGATATTATTGAAAATGATGAGGAATTATTGAACGACTTAGATAAAGTTAATTATTGGTATCATAAAGCTGCTGAAAATGACAACGGATTTGCATTATTTAAGTTAGGTAATTTTTATGAATTAGGTAAGGGTATTTGTGAAAACCATATAAGAGCATTTGAATTTTATAAAAAATCAGCAAATCAAGGATTTATTGATGCTCAATATAAACTTGGATACTTTTATGAAAATGGAATTGGTATAGATATGAATAAAGAAAAAGCATTTAATTCATACAAAATGGCTGCAACAGAGGGGGATCTTAATGCACAAAAAAGTCTTGCATATTTATATGAGAGAGGTAAAGGAACTGATAAAAATATAGAAAATGCTATTTATTGGTATAAGAAAGCTTTAGAAAATGGATGTTTAGATGTTCAGGCAAATTTAGATGTTCTTTTAATTCAGAAAAAATAATTATTTTTTTACAGTGGATTTATTGTTCTGTATTGTATTTTTTATTAGCTTTCTATATAAAGTCAAATGGATTAGCTAAATTATTTATTTCATTTACTCATTTAATACTAACATTAATAGCCAAATAATTTAATTTCCACTTATAGGATCTTAAACTTACCATGTTTGTAATTTCTTAACTTACAGTATATTCATTTATAATATGAAATATATTTAATAAAATATAAAGGAGCCACTCGCATATTCGATTCTTTTTATTTATTTATTTTTACAACCATTAATTTTCGTTAGTACTAAGTTAATCATTATCTTGAAATATCAAAAAAAGTGCCATTGTTTGTAAATTCTGAAATTGGAGCCCAATACTAATAATACTAATATGTAAAGACAAAAAGTTTGGTCAACAGTGATGAAATCGGATAAGGCCCAATTGAAAAAAAATGTCTGGACAGTTGAAATTGAACTAATTAAAAAATATTAGTATTAATTTACTTAAGTTCTATAAAACTCCCTAAAATTTCTCTTGTTAATATTTAATATTAGTTCAATCTATATAGTTAGAATAAGTTAAACAAAAATTATTATGGTTATTAACACTACATATAATACTCCAATAATCGTTAAAAATAAATGATATTTAAAATCATGTCCAATTTCCGTTTGAGATTAAAATTGTGTTTAGAATACTAGTTAAAAATGATTAGTATATAATTTAAATGGTAATTCATATTCAAAAAACTTCTTTTATTGTTAAATCTTCAATAAAATAAAGAAAGTATATTAGTAGTTTATTACGAAGTAAAATTAAAATAAAAAAAATTAGATTATTATAAGTGTACCTTCAGATTGCTCAATTTCTGATTTATTTATAGAATCTAAAATGTAAAGTGAAAAAAATTTTAAAAAAGACTTTAAACGTAAAGTATAATATTTAAAGTAATAAAATTTATAACTTGATTACCTTGCAAAATTAAATGATCATTATTATCATTTGGAAAATTTAACATTTTATCTAATTTATTGAAAACTTGCTTAATTGATGGTCTTAAATCTGGTATATTATCCCAACATGATTTATATAAGTTTAAATATTCAATGGGCATATCAGGAATAGGATCTTCTCTTGCACCACATATTAAATTGATTCTCAAAAGTATTAAATCCTCATTATTAAAAGGAGGACAACCACTAGATAATTCCCACATAAGAACTCCTAAACTATAAATATCGGATTTTTTATCATATTTATAAGAACAATTTTCTAAAAGTTTAGGATCAATGTACGAAATCATTCCAAATACACCAGGATGAAGATTTGTTTCGGTTTCTGTGCTCTTTGCAATGCCAAGGTCAATAATTTTAGCTTCACCTTGATGTATTACTATATTTTTAGAATGTAAATCTCTATGAAGAATATTTTCCTCATGAAGATAATTTATTCCTTCTGTAATTTGATGAGCTAATCTAATTTTATCTTCCCATTTTAATCTTGAAAAATTTTGTTGAAGATAATTACGTAAATCCCCACCATCAGCATATTGCATTACAAATAAATATTCTTCAGTAGTCTCATCTATTAATTAAAAAATAAATATTCAGTAATGAAACAATAAAGAAAAAAAAAATTCGAATATTATATAATCTTACCAAAACTTATTCCTAATATACGTATTATTCTTGAGCAAAAATCTAACCTTCTATGCATGCTTAATTCATGAAGAAATGCTTCAACTAATTTATTATTAATTGATTCAATATTTTTTAATCTTTTACAGACAACTCTATCGTTTGTTTTTTTCCATATAGTTTTTGAAATAGTCCCAAAATGACCACTACCAATATGTTCCATAGTTGTTGATAATTCATCCCTATTAATATATTTAACAAAATGATTACTTATAATAAATTTGATTAATTCTAACGGTTCTAAATTCTTTAAATCCGGAAGTATTAATGGTTTGTCATTTTCTGGTTTTTGTTGTATAATTTTTTGAGATTTTAAATTAATATGATCCCTATCATTTGCGGCAAGAAATTCTAAACAAGTTGAATTTGGGCATTTATTATAAATGGATGACCACCAGTTCATTAAAGTATTATGTATTTCATGAATATTAGGACGTGATTCTGGTTCATTATTCCAACATCTTATCACTAATTCCGAGAAACTTTCTGGTATATTAACTGGTATTTTTGGTCTTAATCCTAAACAAACATCAAGAGTTAAATATTGAACATCATGAGACTGATTATAAGGAATCATTCCGGTTCCAACAGTGTACATTATCATTCCAAATGAATAAATATCGCTAGCCTTTGTATAAGGTTTATAACGTAAAAATTCTGGTGCCATATAACGTTGCCATCCAAATATCTCCTCTGCGTTCGGCGAAGATAAATCCTTACGACATTTTGAATATGATCCTATTGCACACAATCCATTTTCGAATACCAACACATTAGGTGGATTTAAATTTCTATGAACATAACCAGAATTATGCAATGCCTTTAAATCTTCGGCAAGATAAAGAAGTAAATGTAATTTTATTTCCCAATCCAAACTTTTAAAGTTGTACAAAATGTAATTGTGCAATGAATCATTCTGAGCATATTGTTTAATAAGAAGATATGCTTTATGATCAGGATGTTGAGATATTCCATAAAATTGAATTAGCAAAGCACAATCTCGTGCGTAACAATCTAAATATATTTTGAGCTAAATAGAACACGGTATTAATCATAATTAATTTTTATCAAATGATTTATTCATTTTTAGTATAAAGAAAAAAAATACCTCATTCAAAATTTCATTAACTTGATCCTCATGATACAATTTGACGAGAACTTGAGTTTTAGACCTCTTGTACTCTTGATTTTGATGATTCCATAAAATTCTCGGCCCATCCTTCCAAATAGCTGAATACACTGTACTTCTTGATGCTTTACTTAAATATTTTATATTCTCAAGCCTGTTAAAGGGAATCCATTCTAGAAAAGTTTGGGGGCCGCTTGAATAAAACTGTGAATGTTTAATGAATACGTCAATATCATTATTTCCGCTAGTCCAATTTTTAAAATTATCTTCGCTTTGCTTTCGTTCACATAATATACACCACCGATAATAGCTTCTTCGCTGACCACATTTCATACATATTCCGTATAAAGTTTTAAAGGTTCAACCGTCTCTATTAATTCATCTTTTTTTAAAAAAAATTTGAAGTTAAAATTCATTTTTTGTACCATATTTATTTATTGAGAAGATAAAATGTGTAATACTTATTTTAGTCAAACATACCTGATAATAATTTTATCACTGAAAAATGGGTCATTGGGATCCTGTGAATTATAACGCTCCTGTTTCGGTTCCATAACTTTATTACGTTATAACATAAACAAATAAACATTTTATATTGTTTTTTTTTTGTATAACGTGAACGTATTTTTTTGTGAGACAAACATCTATAAAAAAGGTTAATGGTGAATGATCGACATTTGAATTGCTACGGTAGAGACTGAAATTATGGATAAAAAATTAGTAAATAAATTTTAGAAAAGTATGAAACAATTGAAACATAGATCATTAGAAAATAAATATAATTCATAATTCAAAAAAAAGATTAATGATGATTTTTGAGTAAGTATTTTCAGAATTTCGGATATAATACTTTTTTTTTCAAACCACGCGATAAGAAACTTTTATATTAATGATGATAACATGATTCATTGATTCATCTCCTTTTTCAACGATAAGGAATTCTATTTTGTTATATAATTTTAAATTATTATTTCTTTTTTTTTTTTAGCATGTAACTAAAATGATTTTTAAGAGGTGATGAATTATTTTCCATTTTAGATTACTTTTTTTTTAATTTAAACATGTAATAAAATTGATATAGGACTATAATTTCTTTGATTATCAAAGAAGCATATGCAATTATGAATATGCATACGTATGAAGTATAATCACAAGCTTAATTTTCACGTTTATGAGTGTTGAAAAAATTTCGCCGATTAACTAACATAAAAATTTAAACAATCGAAAAATAAAAAAAATCCCAAAAACACTAAATTGACCAATTATCCATATGAATCACGTTAATATTGGCTAAATATTTTGAAGTACAAATATTTATAGTTATTCAATACAAAAGTTAATTTAAAAATACAAACAATTATGATAAGACAATTAATGAAAAACAAATGGAATGTGGTAATACCCTAATATTAATAATAAAAGTATTCCATGAACGTAAATAGCGTAAATAGAACTGCCAATTGTGAATAAATATAAAATAAGAATTAAACATCAGAAAATATTAATTCGCAAACATATAATAGAAATTTAATAGAATTAAAATTAAAACATTTTCTTATATTAATTATATTTTCAAATGATATTATTTTTCTGTAAAAATGAATGAATTTAATCGACATTCAATTTCAAACTAATCCGAAAAAAAGACTTAATCCTGATAAAAATCTTTGATTTTTTTTATTTAGTTGAATTTCTCAATTTTTCCTGATACAGATGTTCGCTCCATCATATTATTTCATTACAATAAAAATCCTTCAAGCAAAAATTTGTTTAACGACTTCTTATGCGTTTGTTGTACCGTTGCAGCAAATTTTCATTCTTACAATCTTAAAGTTTACAGGTCAGTCATTACACAAGAGTTAATCACATTTCTTTACTGATGATATTTTGGATGACGTCTTGAAGTAAATTGGACTGAGACGGTAAATAAATTTGTTGTGAAAACCTTTGTAGCTAGAAAAATTGATGTAAAATTTTAAAATAGAAATAGATTTTCCACGAAAATTAAAATTTTGAATTCCAAAAGTTAACTCTTAAGTAGTTTCCTTATAAAATTGGGTAAAATTTTAAAGAGTTATTCGACTACATTAATTAGATTTAGATTAGGACCTGTTACGTATAGTAAAAAATTGGTAAGGAATTTTGAACAAAATTGGTTCAAGTTCGGATAATATTATTATTAATGGGTGATAACGTTTATAAAAAGAGAATTTATTTGTCATTAATGTATATATTGTGTATGACTGTCTGTATTTTTGTTGCTTGTGCGCGATAAGTAGTGATCTGTTATCGATGATAATACACGATGGAAGAAGATAATAAAATTGACGGAGACATAGCGATAAGCGAGTTCTGTTCACTTCTTATTACTATAAAATCATACACACGTATAAAATTTTTTTAATAAAATAGCGATCTCAATAAGTTTCATTATTCTTTTACAAAGTTAATAAATAAAATCCAGTTTATTATACTAAGGAAAGAAAGCAGTATTTAACTAAATTTTAACGCGGTATACAAGTTTTAAATTGCGTCATCAAAAATAAATTGCGTAATAAAATATACCAAATATGTGTTTCATACTAGTTCCGCAGTAAAGTATCTATCACGTGATTATTCCTTTATGTAAACACTGTATTAACACAATGTGATACTTGTGATAGGCTTCCTTACCAAATTTAGTACAATGCAAATAATAATATTTGTGCGACTAATATGACTAATTATTAATTTAACTTATTTCATTATTCATCGGAAATTTCTAAAAAAAAAAAAAAAAAAAAAAACTTTTTTTTCCGAGAATTCTCCGTTTTGATAAAAAAAATCTTTCTGTGATACACCATAAACATTTCCTTACCGTTCTTTTTCTCGAACATGAATGATTTTTTGTGATACTCTTGTAATACTATGTGAAACTTTTTAAGATTTTTTGCACTGCGTAACTGGGCAGAATTAAACTCCAAAAAGATTCATTCATAAACTTATTGTTGATATTTATTTGTTGACGCCGTTCAAGATAACAAATAGTAAACGATGATGATCGTATCAAAAAAATTTCGTCATATCTTGGTAGGTTCTTGATTTTTCGTGTTACTTCGTTTAAAGAGAAGAATAATTTCAAAGATAATTTTAAAAAATTTCTCACGAAATAAGGAGATGTTTATTATTCAAAGGATTTTTACTTATCCATATAGTGTCCATAATAACATCTAATATCTTTGATTGATTGATCGGCTAATAAAAAATTAGAAATCCATTTCTTGGATTTAGACCAAAAATTAATTAGTCAATCGGGATTTCTTGCCAAGTAAATAACGCCACATAATTTTTTTTTGGAAAGTCATATGAATATGGCAGATATTTTTTTTTCTTTCACCAATGAAATCGATNATTAAATAACTTGGGTTATTGTTATCAATATGGAGTAGGAAAAAAGAAAGATGAATTTAAAGCATTTGAATTTTATTTAAAATCAGCAGAAGGAGGAAATTCTGATGCACAAAATAATTTAGGTTATTGTTATCAAAATGGGATTGGAATAACAAAAGATGAGAAAAAAGCATTTGAATGGTATTTAAAAGCTTCAAATGAAAGTAATTTACATGCGCAGTATAATTTAGGTATTTGTTATCAAAATGGAATAGGAACGAATAAAGATGATAAGAAAGCTCTTGAATATTATATTAAATCTGCTAAAGGAGAGTATTTACCGGCACAATATATATTGGGAAATTGCTACCAAAACGAAGTTGGAATAGAAAAAGATTTAGAAAAAGCCATTTATTGGTATAGGAAAGCAGCAGATAATGGAAATAAAATTGCACAATATAATTTAGGTAATTATTATAAAAATGGAGAAGGTATAGAAAAAGATGATATAAAAGCTTTTAGGTATTATAAAAAATCAGCTAAACAAGGATATTTGAATGCTCAATTTGAATTAGGAAATTGCTATGATAATGGAATTGGAACTGAAATTAATAAGATAAAAGCTTTTAAATTATATAAAATAACAGCTGAAAAAGGTGATAATTGTGCACAAATTAATTTAGGATTATTATATGAGACTGGTGAAGGAACTGAAATTGATCTAGAGATGGCTGTTTACTGGTATAAAAAGGCAGCAGAAAATGAATATAAAGTGGCACTATATAAATTAGGTCTTTATTATCAAATTGGAAAAGTAGTTGAGAAAGATGAGAGTAAGGCATTTAAATATTATAAAAAAGCAGCCGATCAAGAATATTTAGTTGCACAATTTCAACTAGGTCATTGCTATTATCAAGGAATTGGTACTGAAAAAAATAAAATAAAAGCATTTGAATATTGGAAAATCGCAGCTGAAAAAGGTAATCATTATGCACAAAATAGCTTAGGGTTTATGTATGAAAATGGTGGAGGAACTGAAAAAAATAAGGAGAAAGCTTTTTATTGGTATAATAAAGCAGCAGAAAATGGGAATAGGGATGCACAATATAACTTAGGTGAATGTTATGAATTAGGAAATGGCGTAGTAGATAAAGATGAAACTAAGGCATTTGAATATTATGAGAAATCGGCTGAAAATGGAGATATAGATTCGAAATTTCAACTTGGATATTGCTATGTAAATGGTATTGGAACTGAAGTTGATGAGGAAAAAGGATTTGAATTATATAATGAAGCATCTGGCGGTTATATCGAAGTTGATACTATTGAAAACGATGAGGAATTAGTGAACGATTTGGACAAAGTTAACTATTGGTACCATAAAGCTGCAGAAAATGACAATGAGTTTGCATTATTCAAGTTAGGTAATTTTTATGAGTTAGGCAAGGGTATCTGTGAAAACAAGGTTAGAGCATTCGAATTTTATAAAAAATCAGCAAATCAAGGATTTATTGATGCTCAATATAAACTTGGATACTTTTATGAAAATGGAATTGGTATAGATATTAATAAAGAAAAGGCATTTAATTCATACAAAATAGCTGCAACAGAAGGAAATGTTAATGCACAAAAAAATCTTGCAGTTTTATATGAGAGAGGTGAAGGAACCGATAAAAATATAGAAAATGCTATTTATTGGTACAAGAAGGTAATAGAAAATGGATGTTTAGATGTTCAAGAGAATTTGAGTGCTCTTTTAATTCAACAATAATAGTTATTCTTTTTATAGAAGATTTATTGTTCTGTATTATTTATTAATATTCTATATATTATTATTAAAATGCAATATAAATTATTTATTCATTTAATAACATTTAACTTATTGATCAAGTTAAATTATTTATTTTTATTATAATTCATATATGTTTTTTTCTTGGATTTTTTCACTAAGGTGCTTAAAATCGGAAGGATACGGTAATTGCTTTCATTTATTACGACCTTTATAATATACATGATAAATGCCATTATATGATCTTAAATTTGTCATGCTTGCAATTTTCTTTATACAAATGTTGCATATGACAATGTACATTTAATGAATTATATCTTTAAATACTTACATGAACTCAAATATTTTATTTTATTTATTTATTTTTATATTATTATTTTGAAAACTCATTATATA